CATATGAACGAAATGCAGACAGTATACTCTGAAAAGATTCTCTGCCTGTGCTGGCAAAGTTAGGATTGTCGTACTCCTAATGTTGAGACTTCTGTTGATAATACATCGTTAGTTAAAACCCCATCTTTTACCTCCTGAATTCCAGTAAATACAGCTGTATGTTTAAACTTTGTGCAACAAGGAAAAAAAAATGGTTTATGTTATGAGTGAGAGATATTCTCCCTGGAACTAAAAGCTTTTAAATACAGAGTAATTGAGGCAAAATTTATGGGTCTCTTGTCTCTCTCCCAGGGTAAGTTTACAACTGAATGGTAGTTGAGAACTTGATTGGCACTTGTGTTCTTTATCTATCACTGCCTCTCACTGCTTGTTGTCTGTTTTGTCAGGACACTTCAAGCTTGCATAGTTATCATATATGGAAAGTAGTGCTGCTGCAACAATGAGCATTGGGTGAAGAAGTGACAATTAAAGTGATTTGACAGGAGTCAGAGTGGAAACTTGTAAAGCAGAACATTTTAATAAAGTTTGTCTCTCCTAAGATTTCCTACTTGGAGAGAAAACTTCAGGCATACAACAGAACAAGCCTTCTTGCCTCCTAGGAAGCTTATCGCAAGGCTGTATTTTACTTATATCAGTGCATACATATGAGGAGAAGGAGACCTTTATACCACTTCGAAGCTTAGGTTGTGAAATCAGAAGTTACTCCTTCTAATAAATAAATAAATATATATCAGTATTGCTAGAAATGCAGATTGGGCTGATTCTGGCTTTACCACTCTTTCATTGTCTTAATAAACCATTGCTGAAAGTGAAACTTGTAGTGTTAGTACTGTATAGATTATTGTCCTGAACAGATAGATGCTAACTGTGTTCTGCTGATTTCAGGCACCTTATAGCTCTCTACAACTAGTTGAAAGGAGGTTGTGGAGAGGTGAGGGTTGGTCTGTTCTCTCCCTAGTGGCGAGTGATAAGGCGAGGGGAAACGGCCTGAAGTTGCACCAGGGAAGATTCAGATTGGATATTAGGAAGAATTTCTTTACTGAGAGGGTTGTCAGGCATTGGAACAGGGAGGTGGTTGAGTCACCGTCCCTGGAGGTGTTTAAGGATAGATGTTGCATTGAAGGACATGGTTTGGTGTTGATAGGGCTAGGAAAAGGTTGGACTTGATTTGAAGGTCTCTTCCAGCTGAAACTGTTCTATGATTCTATGACAGGCTGAGGGAGCTGGGATTGTTCAGCCTGGAGAAGACTCTGGAGGGACCTAATAGCTGCCTTCCAATACCTGAAGGGAACCTACAGGAAGGCTGAGGAGGGACTTTTTGCAAGAGTGTCCACTGATAGGACAAGGGGAAATGGGTTTAAGCTGAAGGAGAATAGATTTAGATTGGATCTTAGAGAGAAATTCTTCACTACAAGAGTGGCAAGACTTTGGAATAAATTGCCCAGAGATGTTGTGGCTGCCCCCTCCCTGGAGGTGTTCAAGGCCAGGTTGGACAGAGCCTTGAGTAGCCTGATCTAGTTGAGAGGTTGGACTAGATGATCTGTAAGGTCCCTTCCAACTTAGGCGATTCTGTGGTTCTGTGAACTGTTCTGAGTTTTGTGCATTGGTGTGTTGCTTGCTCACCTGTGACGTTAGGTGTATGAAAGGTTTGTTTCGTTCTGGTGCCCTGAGTTAAGGCTTTAGCGCTTGTTACTGTTGCTGAAAGCAGATGTCCTGTTTTCTGTCCTGCTCACTTTGATGTCCCTGTGCATACGCTTGTCACATGGGATGCAGGCTTGCAAGAGCACTCTCTGCTGGGTTAGCTTTTGCCTTTAGTGGGGTCACGCTTCTGATATGCTTCAAAGCATGATTGAGCAAATGCTTGCAGCTGGTGTTAAGAAAGGAGACAGGTGAAAAGCTGAGGACAGGAGGCAGAATAGAGCTGCTGCTGTGGTGTAGTGTTGGCTGGCATAAAGTGTCCCAATGTTGTATGTGGATACCTTGGCAGAAACTGCTCTTTTTCATTGAAGCAAAAGCCAGGAGTATTTCAAAGCAGTGTAAGTAAAATAAAAGGGCACAACTGTTGATACTGAGCAGAAAACTGTATTAGCTGCTGGTCCTCAATTTGTCTCTTGTGTTAGTGTGTGTCAGCAGTTCTCTGCTGCATCAGATTGTGTGACAGTGCTGCAGCTGTAACACTGCACAGGGTGATGTGTGACCAAGCATTTCCGTCAGCTAGTTTTAGAGTCACTTTAAATTAGAGCTGTAGGAAGAAAATGTTTATTGAGTAGTAAAATTACTTCAGAGTTAAGTCAAGGTTTTCTTGGAATGTGTCATCTCAAATTTTATTTCAGGTACATCTGTGCAGTTTAATTGATTGTAAACATAGATGGTCAAATAACCCTTGAAGTCTTTATGTGTTTAAGTCATCAAGCAATTAATTTGGTTGCAGTGCTGTAGGAAAAGAAATTACAAATGGTTCTGCTCGTTTAATGCTGCAGTTGCTGCATTCTGTTGCATAAGGGCTAGTCCAAATACACCTTTGTTATCGTCAAAACTGATTGTGAAAAGCTTAACGTTACTTCTCACACAGGTTTTTTTCTGGATGTCTTTATATGATGCCAAGGTGTAATTGTGCATAATAAATTCTTAAGAAGCATCCTATAGGATCAGGGCAGTGGTGCATCTAGCCCAATACTCTGCCTCATGGTGGCAAAAGAACATGCTGTTTAAGGAGACCTCTGTTTTCTGCAGTCCATGCCCCTCATTTCCCCTGAATGTTTGTAGTTGTTTTAGGAATATCAGAGAGAATGTCTCTGCCCAGTTCCTTTTTGAATCTCCTGTTTTTCCTTCGTGTCTCCAGTCAAGGCTTCACCATCTTCTGTTTAAAGAAGTGCCTTTTTTTTTCTTGTGTGTTTTTAAAACTGACTTCCCTTGGAAGGTGGCTTTTGGTTTTGGCTGATGTAGGGCAGGAAACAGAATGTATGTTTGTGTAGTTGTGTGTTATTGCTCTGTCTCTCACCAGGTATGCCTGAAGACTGTAATTGTGTTCTTGATTAGTTCTCCTTTGACAGACTCAAAGAAGTGCCAAGCTCTTTTAATCCCTTCTTGTAAGGGAAGCTCTTAATTTCAGTGATCATCCTAGTAATCAGTCTTTCCTATCAAAGATTACTTTTATGATCATGCCCAGAGCTAAATGTAATGTTCCAGCTAGATCTGAACAGAGTTTTAGTTGTCATCTGGTTCTGACTTGTTCAGATTTTGGTCTTTATTGCTAGAAGGAGTAATCACTACAAAGAAGGTGCCTGTGGGTCAACTTCATGGCTTTCCTGAAAACTTCCCTGCAGAAGCAGCGTTTAGCTTCTGGACTTAGCATAGGAGATGAAAAGTAGGGTGAAGAAATAGGGCCTTCTCTTCTGAGCTTCCTAGTGGACTATAAGTTAAATCTCTTAATCTTGGCTAGTAAGTATATGTTTTCTGAATCATTATCAGATATAAAACTTGCATAGAAAGCTCAAAATAATACAGTGAGTAGTACATATCTTAAATATTTGAATCACTTCAAGTCCTTGTGAAGGAGCCCATGTAGATCCTCTGTGAGCAAGGGAGCAAGCGTGGGTGTGTTTTTTCTTTCTTTTTTTCCCCTAAATATCTTCACAGAAAACAAAAGTATTGTCCCATCTCTTTGGTACTAAGAAGTCAGTCTCCAAGTACTTGCGTGTTTAGAACCTTCATGCTTCTTGTGCCAGAGAACTGATAAGCAGTTTTGAATTCAGAGATGTGTTGCTAGGTTGACAATCAAGAAGTAAAATCTACAAGTAACTAGTTGGAAGGTGTAATTTGAGCATTCCCTTTGCTTAGAGCCACCCTAGCTTGTGGTAATTATGCAAGTTTAATTTTATGTGGCCAGGCAGGATGCAGGTCAAAATAGGAAATGATGCAGCTTTTTTGTGTCTACCATAATCTCTTTCAGTATACATAGTGGCTGGTTTTGCTCAAGTGCTTTATTTTTTTCTTAGGCTTTTCAATGGTTGTCTTTTCATATCCAGGAGAACAGCAAGTTATTTCTTTGCTTGGAAGGACCAGAGTGGCTCAGCTCATGGTGGTGTGTGAAAAGATGGGATGTGGAGCACAAATGTGAATGGAGTAGCTCCTGAAGTCTCTCACGGTCTAGCTGTTCTCTGCAGCATATTCAGTGTAATTGATTTTGAATAATAACTCAGGGTTTTGTTTTTCTTCCTTCATCACCTGAGATGGCTTGATGAACTTTTCTTTCTTTCTTTTTGCCTTTCTATGATGCTTCAGAATATCCCAGCTGATTTTGGTGATATTCTCATACTTCACTTTTGAAACCCAAATGTGGTCTCCCCTACCTAGAAGATTTTGTAAAGGATCTTTAAACAACTAAAGCCAACTAAAGGGCTTACTCTGCCTACTCTGGAAGAAATAGTAGATTTGTTTAGGCCTCTGATTTCTGCAAAGCACTCAAAGCTTAGGCATCAGTGCTCTGCTGAGCGTAAGTGAGTGGAAGCTATAGTGGACCTGCCAATTCACTTGGTAAGTGCCATAGTTATATCTTTACTGAGAAGACGGTGGTTGCAGATGTAGGATATTTGTGCTTGATTGGGTAAAACCGTGGATTACGGTGTGTCAGATAATCAGTTTCATCTTGTTAGTAGTCTGTGAGTTACTGACCGTTTCTTATTGGGTACTTAATAATTTGTGATTCAAACATGTGTTGAAGATAGATCAGAACACTCCAAAGTATTCGTACTTTCAGATGCTAACTCACCAAGGTTTGTTCACAGAACACCCTAAAGCTGCAATTTGTGGATGGTTTAAAACTTTTGGAATAACCTCTGGGAGTTAAAATATGTCTTCAATACACATATTTGTGGTTCAAATGGGGGTGGGTGGGGGTGGAGAAAGAGTGGTAAAATGAAAAACAGCCTTTATTATTCTACCCAGAGCAATTTGTTTTAGTAGTCAGATGACAAATGTTGGGTTTTCTTTCATTCTAGGTTCAAAGGATCTTGTGGTAAAAGCACAGGTTTTAGCTGGTGGTAGAGGAAAAGGAACATTTGAAGGTGGCCTCAAAGGAGGAGTGAAAATAGTTTTTTCGTAAGTTGTTTCTAAATTATTCAACCAAGTGGAAAAAGTTTCACATTATGCATTGAACCTATTGTTTAGTTTAAAACCAATGTTTTTAATAATTAACCTTAAAATAACAAAAATTAGGGAAGATTCTCTTATGCTACTTCTGTTCTTCCAGCAGTTTCTTTGTCACATTATGAGCTTCTTTTATTCTAGTCCAGAAGAAGCAAAAGACATCTCCTCCAAAATGATTGGAAAGAAGTTGTTTACCAAGCAGACAGGAGAACAAGGCAGGATATGCAATCAAGTATTTATCTGTGAGCGCAAATATCCCAGGAGAGAATACTATTTTGCAATAACAATGGAAAGATCTTTTCAAGTGAGTAATGTTAAAAATAAAAGTAAAGTAATTAACTTCTTATAGCTGAATTCAAATAGAAAAAACCCTACAACAAAACTGTCGTCAAGTGCTTTTGAAAATGAGGAATACACATGAGCTAAATCTTGGTTCCTAGTATCTCTGACTATATGATTGCCTAATTGTTTAACTGCTTTAAAAATGTAAGGTTACCATTTAAATGTAAGGAGTAACAAATTAGCATCAGTAGCACCAACTAAAGTTCAGAGTCATATGGCTGAAGGGGGAGATGGCTGGAATGAGGGGGGTCATTTTCATTTTGTTTTTAGCTTACCTTGTTTTTGCACTTACCTACCAGAGGCTAATACTAGAATTGAGTTTTAAAAATACGACTTTGTGGGTGCGTGTACATGTACATACTATTTTAAGAGTGTCAGGAAGAAGATAAGTAAAAGTCTTTTGGTAGAGTCAGTGCATAAATCAAACATTCTTTTTCTCCAGTGTGTGGAGGTACTTAGAAATACACAGGTGTGGCCCTCAATTTTCAAAGTACTGGTAGCTTTCTTATACCAATACTTTTCAGGAACTGGTAGGAAGGTTTAGGCCTAGAGGTCTGTCTTCAGAGCTTTTAGGAGGATGAAGGCTGTAGACTCTTCTGTTGTATGTTCTGTATGTGTGCGTACATAGTTTTTTAAGCTACAATTCAAGCCTGGTTACTAAAACTTGTCAGTGTATTTTTGACAGACAGATGTTCCATTATGGAGTCTCCTTCCTTGGAGACATTCAAAACCTGCCTGGACACGTTCCTGTGCGATCTACTGTAGGTGATCCTGCTCTGGCAGGGGGGCTGGACTAAGATGATCTTTTGAGGTCCCTTCCAACCCCTGACGTTCTGTGATTCTGTGATGGAGCACAGAGCATGTATTGCTAAATAACTTCAACAAAGCCAGGGTAAAGTAGGTCTTAGAACTTTATTTGTTGACACTCAGTAAAAACTAAGTTTGGCCTATCCAGGTGCTTAAGAGTCTGTAGAAGCATTTCTCTTGGTAATTAGAAGAGTATCTCTGCCATGAATATGAAATAATTTTCTATGGAGGAATGAAGAAAGTAGTCTTACTCTTTTATTTTCCTTGTTGCAAAATTAGAGGTTACGTATTGTGTTTATTCCTTCCTCTTCCTCCGTAGCATTCTGATAGGAAAGTATCCATTGTGTGCCTTGGGCACCTACATTGCATTGTAACAGCAGGGAAGATCCAAATGTTACAGTACAAACCCCAGATTTACCACAAGGTGGCATTAAAATACGGCAGATGGCCGGATTTTATAATCTTAAAATTGTGTAAGCAATAAGCAGGCATCCTTATGGAAATAAAATTTACTGTAACTGATTTAAGCAAATTAGATAAAGAGGAGAAACATTTTCCTTACTTGTCCTTGCTCTTGTATAAAAATAAAGAAAATTCTTATTAGTGTATATTGAGCATATCTGATCTTTGTCGAGTTTTTAGATGTGCTTGTAGTTGCTATAGTTTGTCTAGGATGCTTATGATGCCTTTCAAAAGAAGGAAGTGTGAAGGTTGACTAGGACATGGAGTGCATTCCTGATTTCCCCCTTCCTTTAAGGGAGGGGAAAAATGTGAAATAGTCAGTTGAAAGTGGAACTTGATGTCTTGGGTGTTATTCATCAATAGGTTTTAAACACAACTTTTCACTTTGGTCAGTCCTGTGGACAAAGAGTTATTTTTGTAACATGTTTGTAGCTTCCTGACTGTTCAGGTCATGAATATCAGAAATGTTCATTGTGTTGAACATTGCTATTAGATTAGATAATTAATCATCTCTTGTATTTCCATTTGGAAGGATGATAGTTTAGTAGTCATGGTAGTGTTGGTTGATGCTTGGACATGATGATCTTAGAGGTCTTTTCCAACCTTAATGATTCTGCGATTCTGTGATGACGATAGAGGGGAGTGGTGTGGCTGTTAAGCGTGTTCTCAGGACCAGTGTCACACTTGTAGTTAATGGTCAAGAGTTATAAGGTGGTTTAATGTTTTAAGACCTGTGCTGATAAGAAATGCTGCCTTAGTGCACAAGTTGTCGTCATCCACGCACAGTTGGTGATAAGGGAAGATGGGCTGAGATGGTAGGAGTCTGTCTTTAACATAAACTGGAGGACTGTTCCCACAGGGAGAGAATTTTTAGGTTCCATAGTAGTGAGTCCTTGATGCTTTTATTGAGATCTAGATAGCTTTTTTTAAAAAAAATCTGCTGCAAATGTTAACAATTCAGATTTCTTAGTTTCTTATGTTATTGAATAATTGAGCACTGTTTTCTGAAAACTCCCTGACAGCTATAGTTATTGAGCTTTGGGATCCTACTGAAAATGCAATAATTTTGTCACTTAAGTTCTGCAGACCTGGATTTGTCCTTGGAGTTGGAACAAGATAGAATGAATAAATCAGTGCCTGGCATTCAATGTGTGTTTGTGTAGGGGTGAGTGGCAAAGAGGGAGGTGAGAAGGCTGTTCTTTTTCTGGTGATAACCTAGGAGATAAAATGCATACGATTACTGAATTTCTATCAAAAATTAAAACTAGTATGTCGGTGTTATTTGCTGTTGCTACAGTCTATGTACAATGAAAGTTTTCCTAAGTTTCAGCCATGTGGTACAAAATTACTTATGCTCTTTTTTTTGCCTTTTTGTTCTAGGGTCCTGTGCTGATAGGCAGCTCTCAGGGTGGTGTTAATATTGAAGATGTCGCTGCAGAGAATCCTGATGCGATAATTAAGGAACCCATTGATATAGTAGAAGGCATAAAAAAGGAGCAAGCTGTTAGGGTAATTGTTAATGTGGAAAAGTACACATTAGTGGGGACTGGAGGGTTGCTTCTAAATCTTGTGGAGTGTGCATGCATTCAACCTGCTGAGTTACCTTAAACCCTTTTGACATTGCAGATTTAAGTATTTTCAGGTGATAGTCAATGTAAAATCCAGCTCTGGCAGTGCTTTATCTAGCTTTTTGTAAGGGCATGTTATGATGACTTTTTACTAGCACTTTTTTAGGATGAGTGCAGTGATTTGTATTGGAAACAATCTTATCAAATCCAAGAGAATTTTTTTTGCAGGAAGATGGGTTCTACATCTACATTTTCAATTGACACTGAAATAAAAGCTAAACTGAGACATTCCTAATTTGTAATTAAATCCAGTCCTGAACATCAGTTAACTGATAACCGATCTTTTACTTTCAGCTTGCCCAAAAAATGGGATTTCCTCCTAATCTGGTGGATGAAGCAGCTGAAAATATGATCAAATTATATAATCTCTTTCTGAAATATGATGCTACTATGATAGAAATAAATCCTATGGTGGAAGATGCATCAGGAGTTGGTAATATTTCTTCTTCATATTTTTGTGTAACTTGACATTTTTGGTAACTCTTAGTTGCTTCGCACTGTTAAAACTTCAGCTATGTACAGCAAGAGGACTTAGCATTAACATGGTATATTGAAAAATGAATTTAACAGAGCATATAAATTTGAGAATCAAAGCATAGTAGATCTTTGCTCTTCATTGCTAGGTAGGATCTTAAGATTAAATAGCTTCCTTTATAATTTTTATTTATTTAAAAAAATAACAAATCTTCCACTCTTCACCATTTGGCTACCCAGCACAAGGCGTTCCTGGAAATTGGGTCTTTTCAGAATAAATGAATTGAAACTTGAGCCATTTTATGTATTCAAGTTGGTCCTGAAAACGTAACCAAAATAGTAGCACTTTCTAGAATTCTCTGGCTTCAGAACTTCTCAGGTGTGAGAATGACTGATTGAGTTTGATGGGTGGTGTATTGAAAGACTATTGGTTTTTAAGTGATACTTCCACACTTACCAGGTTTTTAGTATATCCAGTTGCAGAATAGTTAGTTAATATTTCATCACAGCCAATTCCCCTCTCACCAAAAACTAAATCTGTGAACAGTATTTATACTTGAACTCACATAAAACAGTTTTAAATTTAAACATGAATGTGACTCCTTCATTGAAGCTTACAATTACTCTACTTTTTTTTTTTTTTTAATAATACTGCTTAAATGAACAGTATGGAGCAGTCTCTCACATCTGTTTCTCATGCCTTGTCATTTTTATATGATCTGTAGTGAGGGGTAGAAATCAAGTCCTGCATCGGCAGAGGCAGAAACATTCTTCTAATATAAAGAATATTCTAGGTTTTCCATGTCACCTGTTATGTCTAAGTGAAAATTAACTTTTGTGTGTATTCTGACACTTTCTTCTGACTCAGGTGGTTTTATTTTTATTGTGTTTCCGTGTGCTTACGTGCATGCACACATCTGCTATATATTTAATCTAAAAGCAGAAAATTAGGAGAGATTAAGAAGAACAACAAAAAAAAAAAGAAACCAGAAATCTTCTGTAGAGATTAGTTTTATCGAAGTTTTAGCTAATTATCGAAGCACATTTTTCCCAGGTTTATCAAAGCGTCTTTGTTTGTCCGGTGTCTCAAGAAATGCAGTCATCTTCCCTTTCTGTGCAGTTAAAGAGACTTAACTGAGTGCGTGGGTACACTGGAGAGAATTGTGTGTTTACATGCAGTGCTAAGTGTGTCTTTTCAAGAAAACTTTTAAGTTTGGATTGCGTGAGCTAGCTGCCAAGTTTGACCTAACATACTTTAAATATATTCATGTAGCAGTTGAGCTATTATTCTAGTATTAAACAATTTTTTTTTCTTCCTTTTCCATTCAGTGATGTGTATGGATGCGAAGATAAACTTTGACAGCAATTCAGCCTATCGTCAGAAGAAGATCTTTGATATGCAGGATTGGACACAGGAAGATCAAAGAGACAGGGATGCTGCAAAAGCAGATCTCAACTATATCGGCCTGGATGGAAACATAGGCTGCTTAGGTATGTTCTATTTAATGAATTTTAAATGACCTAATGGATTTAAAAACCGAATTCCTAAATGTTATCTTTATTCTCATATAGTCAATGGTGCTGGTTTAGCTATGGCTACAATGGATATAATTAAACTTCACGGCGGAACTCCAGCAAACTTCCTTGATGTTGGTGGTGGTGCTACAGTGCAGCAAGTGACAGAAGCCTTTAAGCTTATTACCTCTGATAAAAAGGTGAGGGAAGAGTTGTCGTACCAAGGTCCTACACAGTGGTAAAGCAGCAGCCTATGACTTGAAAGACAATGCTTAGTGCATGTTCTCCAGAAAACATGTTTGTATAAGCATAGAACTAAAGAGAGAATGGAGATGTTAGCTGCATCTTGATTGAAATGGAGAAGGCCTGAAAACTTGTTGATTTTTTTCCTTTTTTTAAAAAAGATTCTTTGACTGTGTACTTAGTAGGTGGTTTTGTGTCCTCCGGTTGAAGTTAGAGCTGTTTTTGAATCCTTCCAGAAATCTTTGAGGCAGAAACTTACCCACCTGCTGCTTAAATAGAAACCAGTATTCAGATGGGATTGGTTTTGTTTTTTCTTTTTTCTTTTTAATTTGGGCCCATTTTGCAGATGGATCTGTTTTGTGCATGGAGTTCTAGAGATTAATATTCACTGTGCTGTGCACAAACAAGTTTCTGAGGTACCAATTATGTGAAATGTAAGACAAAATAACTTTGTAATGGGCTTGAAAGGGCATTAATCTTTTATCCTTTCGAAAGTTTATCAGAAGTGTTTGAATATTATGCAGAAAATTAATTGGTTGAAACTGGAGGAAGAGGTTTACCATCCCAGAAGGACAATGCGAGGACTGGATTGACGGCCTACATAAAGGTGCTTATCCCAGTGGGAACTCAGTGGCAGTTTGGGACTTTTTTAAAAAGCAAGAAAAATATGAACAAGAGGTAACTGGAAAAGGTGTGAGTAACTTGCAGGCCATGGTAATGGACCAGAATTTCATGCACCACTTGCTCATCTTTGAAAAGGGCCAGAAACAAATAGTGATGTTGCAGAAGAGCTTAGTCTCTTCCCTATTGGAAAGATTTTTCTTACTAAATGCAGAATTTGACACACTCTCCAAGAGTGTCATAGAATCATTTAAGTTGAAAGAGACTTTTAAAGTCCGACCATTAACCTAGCAGTGCCAGGTCCACCACTACACTGTGTCACCAAGAACCTTATCTATACATCTTTTAAATACTTCAGGGATGGTAACTCAGTCACTTCCCTGGGCAGCCTGTTCCAGTGCTTACAACCCTTTCGGTGAAGAAATCTTTCCTAATATCCAATCTAAACCTCCCCTGGTGCAACTTGAGGCCATTTTCTGCCATCCTATCACTTGTTCCATTATGAAAAGAGACTGACACCCACCTCACTACAACCTCCTTTCAGGTAGCAATAACATCTCCACTGAGTGTCCTTTTCTCCAGCCTAAACAACCCCAGTTCTCTCAGCCACTTCTCATAACACTTGTTCTTTCAGCAAGCTGAGGGCAAAGTGAGGGATGCAGGCACAGAGCACCTCAATTACAGAAAGAGAAGAAACAGAAGAATTTGGAGATTGTTGATTTTTGGGACAAGTTCTTGCAATGCCAGTTCTCTGATGATTCATGGACAGAGGGTGTCCAAACAGACTTCTTAATATATTTTTCCCTTTCTGCCCACCTTTAGCTGCTCACTATTTTATCAGAAAACAATGAGTGTGACTGGGATTGCTGGTGCTGAAAGTCAGTCAGCAGTACAACACACTGGTGCCATGGCTTGTGCTCTGAGTTCAGCTCAGGGGCTGTTTGGAACAGCTGTCTGGAGTGCCAGTCTTAAGTTACTGCTCCCCAGTTAGTAGCACGAGCAAGAACAACATCACATGGAGAATTGCAAAATAATGAGAACAAAGCTACTGTTTATTAATCAATTGCACGTTAATGTTTTGTCTTAAGTTTATTCTGCCTTCCAAGGCTGCTTGCACATTCTTGCTCCTGCTTTATTATGTATTTCACCATTAACCATGATCATTGTTTCCATCACCTGAGTAGGAAAAGACTTTACCTTAACCTAAGACTTTGTCCTCCTGAATAAAACATTTTTCAGACAGCTTAGCTCTAAGCATGTTAGCTTTTAAGAAAGCCATATAAACACTGTCTTGTGTGTGAGTTTTTGCAAACTTCCTGTGTTCTTTAGCATGGCTTCTTCTGTAGGTGGAGGTACCAGTGTGGGAGGTGCCTCTGCTGGAGTAATGTCAGAAATGGAAAGTTAAACAGTTGCCAAATGAAGTTGTTAGGTGACTTCACTGAAGTTTCGTCTGTTTGATTTGCTTGAAGATCAAACAGCTGTCTTATTAATCATGTTCCAATATTCCAAAGTAATGGACAGTGTTTGCTTTGTACAGAAAACAGTTGCTTGTCTTCTCAACGTAGCTACACAGAATACACACTCTGAATAGGAGAAATGGCTATTGCCTGCAACTCGTGCTGGTTTGAAGGACAATGTGGAAGTTTCCTAGGACAAGCATTTTTGCAATAGGGTTATCCGGAAGTAACTGTTCTGCTCTATGTGACTTTATAGAACTGAACTTTTGTTGCTCATGTTCCCTGTCTTTCACAGAGTACTTATGGAGCTTCAATTTTCTTTAGGCTGAGAGACTGAGTGGTGCTTTTGTCTGATGTGCCTCTGGCCATTTTTAATGTCAATATTGTCATTGATTCTGTAGGTACTGGCTATTCTAGTAAATATTTTTGGTGGCATTATGCGCTGTGATGTGATAGCACAAGGCATCGTTATGGCGGTAAAGGATTTGGAGCTAAAAATACCTATTGTGGTACGGTTGCAAGGTGAGTGTCCTTCCGTATATGTTAAATATATTTCTGTTTGTATTGACAAATGTTCTTAAGCTTATATTTTACTTAGCAAGTTGCCTGTAAGCTGAAGACTGTAGAAAAATAAGGCAGACCTTAAATTTAGGTGATGAGGATTGGCAAGTTAAGAACAAGAGATTTCCTGCTTTTATAACTACTGAAGTTGTCTTCTAAATTTATTTGCTAACTTGCTTTTGGAACGGGCTTCCTAGAAAAAATATAGGAATACTTTGGTAGTAGTAGTCTCCTGTTTGCTAAGAGTGGCATTTTATCTCTTTGTTAAGGTACACGAGTTGATGATGCTAAAGCTTTAATAACTGCTAGTGGCCTCAAAATTCTTGCATGTGATGACTTGGATGAAGCTGCAAAAATGGTAAGGGAGCTGGTTACAAAAATTCTCTTCAGAACATGGCATCTGTTGCATAATATTGAAAAGTTGAAACGCTAATCCGGTAAAGGTAGCTTGGTATAAATGATAGTGCAAGTTATTATCAGTGGCCTGAAGCAAATGTTTTCCAACTGGTAAGTATGTATTTTAAAAGGAGAAGAGCTACACAGTTGGAAGTTATTGTACTCCTGAATTTCTGTGTTCGGGACTTTTTTTTTCCTTTCTCCCCTCTGAAGAGCAGGTTAAAAAATAGGTTTAAAAAAAACCCACCCCAAAACAGATAAAGGACCAGATCAGTCACTCTCCTTCTTAGGAGAATGGCTAAGAGCTTTAGCTTTATAAATTGGAAGAAAATACTTAAACTGAGGTAGCTGAAAAATGCAGTGCAACTCTTCCTTTGATAAACCACTATGTTTCAGTTTGCAGGATTAAAACCAAACATAGTTGAGCATCCTGTTGCCTCACAAGGTAATTAGATATTCAGACAGGTTGTACCCCATTTTTTTTTCTTCTTTTGAGGGGATGTGTTTTTTGTTCTGCTTTATTTTCTTGGGTTGAAGCTGTAGAAGCAGCTGTGGATTGCTTGGAGGAGAACTTGCTTAGCTTGACACTATGGCCCTGTGTTTTAAGGAATAGTATTAAGTCCTGCCAGGCTGGTCAAGCTTTGGTTAGGTCAGTGAAAATCTTCCCTAGCAGTACCTATGGGTCTTTAAGCAATGTTGCATCTATGTAATGTATCTTCTAAAGCTGCTGCCGAATCTAAAGTTCTTGCCTGAATCATGGAGCTGTACAAATGGAGTTAAAATTAGGTTTGTAATCTTAAGTTATTTTCATGTGTAGAAGCACTCCTTGAAAAGGTTGTCACTGTTTTTTTATGTTGCCTGTAGGTAATTCCTCAAACAGGTTTATATAAGGGAATGTCAGGAGTGGGATAAACAAATGGGTAAGAGATCAGGATAATAAGCTGAGCATTCAAAGCAGTGGTTATAAAAAGTAATGTTGAACGTATATTTTTTTTCTCTCTAAGTATCTTTTTTTTTTCCCTATCAACAGATGTCTCTAAATTTTTCTAGCTAACTAATATTTTAGGTGCTTTTGAAGTTAGGTAATGTGGACGAGAAAAACATACGACAAATGTGTAGCAACAGTGAAGATGAAAATTTTTGATCTGCAGAAAATTAGAGGGCATCTGGTAAATTTTGTATCATGGGGAAACTTAAGAATTCTGGATCTTTCTTTTTTTTTTTTTTTCCTAAAGAACCACTTACTCAGTTATACTGTTTGATTCTAGGCAGGAAATAATTCATAGAGGTTTTGAGTTATTACGCAAAAGAAGTTGAAACTCTGTAAGGTACCAGAATAAGATCCAGAAATGCTTGCAATAAAAACTCGAGGAGAGATAGCTTCTAGATGAATCTTTTGTGAGTGGGCACCCCACCGACTCCCAAGAAAACAAAGTGGCACAAAAAGTTCAAAAATTTGTAGTATTTTATCATGGCATTTTGTTGTAAATGAGAATCGGGCATTGTATAATCGTGTGAGATGTTTTCTGGAAGACTTGACTGATCTTTCATTTAGAAGCGATTCAGAAGCACTGGACTAAGTAACAATCCCAGCTGTGTCCCCCTCCCCTGTCCTCCCTCCCCCAGCCTGCCGTGTTAGGCCTAGATCTTGCTTATGATTCTCTGGCCTTACTTTGTTTAAAAAGATTGGTCCAGCTCACCCAAGTTAGGGTTGTTTTGAAAATAAGTCTTTATTTTCTGTTTTTCAGGTGGTGAAACTCTCCGAAATAGTAAGCTTAGCGAAACAAGCTCAGGTGGATGTTAAATTTCAGTTGCCAATTTGATCTGAGGAATGTACATGTTTTCTGAAATACTGTTTTGTTTCTGTACCCGAGATATTTTTGGTTTTTTTGTGTGTGGAGGTGTTGATTAACAGGCGCACAAACAGAAGTATCTGGTCTGTAATGTTAACATTCGGAATGGTCAGAATTCTTGTAAAAGCGTGTATTGCTGATATTTAGTCCTTCTTAGTTGTTGTTCTTCAAGCCTCCAGCTTCAGCTGCAGAATGTCACTTATAATATACTTCTGTGTTGTCCAAAGTAAAGCTTCTGGTTGAAAAATAATTATTCTGAATAAATTCTGAAGTTTCTTTACTTGTAAATTTGTATTAGCCTTGGTTAAAAGTAAATATAACTAGACTATTTAGTTGTCCATGTGGAGAAATGTATTGAAACGGTATTTTATATTGGAGACAGTTGTACTTAGCAGTGTAATGGACATGAGCAAACCAATCATTATTTATGAACAGGTGCATTTGAACTTGATCAGAAACATTTTTAGAAATACTTCCTTGAAGTGGCTGGTAACTCTTCTGGACAACGTGTTTAATCACTACAAAATATACTGTAGCACTTAGATTTTCACGATTTTCAGTCCTTACAGAAAACGCATCATGTAGTTTTATATATGAACAAGCATTTACCAAATGTCAAGGAGACAGAATACATAGAGAATTAAAATGTCTATTGTACATCACTAATAAAATTGTACATTAATAAAATGTCTCCCAAAACTTCTACTGTCCTTTTCTTTATATGACGCCATTTGGATAAATTGCATATACTCATGGATTAAACCATAATTTAGAATAGCAAGCTAAAAGCTGTTCAGGAGTAAATTTACAATAGCACGTATGTTAAGTTTGGGTTTTTTTCTCCTTGAATTGCATTACATGATTAAAAACACATGAACTCATGCTGTGTAGGAAAAAACTTGGAGCTGTAATGCATATAACATCTTACTCAAGTGGCCATAACTGATTTCTTCACAAATAAATACACAGGAAAATGTTGAGTTTTTGGGGAAATGTTGCTTCTGCTAATGTTAATCATTAATTTTTGTCACCTTACAATGCTGTTAATTTTGACATGACGTAGAACTTGGAACTTGCAAGATGATCCATTTACTACTTCATATTTTATAGAGTGGTGGTTTGCTTTTTATTTTTTTCCCCTTGACTAACTGTAGTGTAGTTTTATAAGAAAATAGTGAATATTTGTGTATGGTGGGATTTCAGAATGAGAAATCATGGAGTCATGAACTAAGGACTTAAAAGGATTATATGAAATGTGAGAAAATGTAGTCAATCACATGTCGTCTCGAGGTGAAAATTGAAGAAGCATTAGTGTGGTACATTTCATTAGTTTTTGGCAGTACTAAACAAAATCAGCAGAAATTAAACTCGCTCTGAATGTGGACTGGATTATTTTTGATCCTAGTTGGTCTCTCAACTGACAACTGTGTGCTCTTGATCCAGCATGATAAATTGAGCTTGTGGGTGTTTTTGTAATTGCTTTTATTCAATGGTCTTGAACACATTTGCAGAGATAACTAGTTTGAACAATTTGTTAAGTGTTGAATAATTTAGAGAATTGATTTCTAGCATATGGGTTTGTTTGTAGCCTTACTTTTTTACTTCTAAAATCTGTGTTGAATGATCATGTTATTTTTCTTTTTTTAAATAACATATCTAAACATACCAGACTATTATTTCTAAATCAGGATGAGGCATAAAAAGGCAAAAGTGACTTGATGATGCCAAAAACAGCAAATGGAAATGGCCCTTTAATACAAATACTAAGCTAGATCCTGCTGTGAGTACAGAATTCCCTTATACCCTGTGTGAACTGTTAAATTGAGTAAGGCAGAGGGAGCCAAGGCAAAGTCATTTCCATCTTTGAGTGGAATGAGAAATACTGACATTGCCATTAACAAACATATTGCTGTTAACATATTCCCATATGAACATATCTCTGCCTTGGCAGGAAGCTGGGTTTTGCCATCAGGGTAATTCTAAAGCCCAGAGTATTCCTTGAACCGAAAGGATGAGGAATAGGTGTGGGACAAGAAGGTGGCTGCAGGCAGTTTTCTGACCAGAGTGTTCAGAACGTACCAAATAACTCTTGCCATTAAAATACCAATCTGTAGGAAGATACTTGGTTTAAGTTACAATGGCATTTATAGGTGGTGTCTATAGAATCATAGAACACTTTCAGCTTGAAGAGACCTTCAAGGCTATTGAGTCCAACCTTTTCCTAGTGCTATCAACACCACTAAACCATGTCCTTCGACACAACATCCACCCGTCTCTTAAAACACCTCCAGGGATGGTGACTCAACCACCTCCCTGGGCAGCCTGTTCCAGTGCCTGACAACCCTCTCAGTAAAGAAATTCTTCCTCATGTCCAACCTGAACCTCCCCTGGCGCAACTTCAGGCCATTTTCCTTTGTCCTATCACTCTCCACTAGGGAGAACAGACCAAACCCTGCCTCGCTACAACCTCCTTTCAGGTAGTTGTGGAGAGCGATGAGGTCTCCCCTCAATCTCCTCCAGGCTAAACAGCCTTACTTGAATAAGATCCTCTATTTATGAATCCAATTGTCCACATAAGTTTGATTTACCAGTTTAAATGAGATATTTTAATTGCAAAATCAAATTAATTGGTAATTTTGTATGCTATATCACAGCTTGATAAAACACCCATAGAATGTGACTGCAATGTTCTGCATCATGAAATCACGTTACTTACTCCTCTTTTTTCTGACTTGGTGGCGTGCAGCTCCAACACACTGTTAGATTTTTTGCACTAAGATAAGGCAGGTACATTTTTCGGATATACACAGAGCACAGTAAGGTACCATTAGTTCTACTTGTATTAAAAATAAAGGCTATGGTCAAAGTATTACTCAAAATGCGATGGCGGCTGTGCTCACATGAAGTGCATCGGCGTGTGTAGTGCCTGTGTGTTGACTGCGGAAAGGTTGCTGTGTTGGTTGGTCTTTGAATTATTAAATGACTTACCATGCATGATTATCATCTTTCACGGGACTGAAAGACTTAATTTTGACTTTTGTCTAGGCTCTCAGGTGCATAGGTATAGTTTCTCTGCTCAGCTCTCTCTCATCTAGATATATCTACACTTTTACAGTGAATGGTAGATCAGTCTGTATGAATTGAAGAGCTGTGTCTCAGTCTTGACTTCTGGAATGTCTGTCTTTTACTTGCCGAGGACCAAGTCTGTTAAATGATGCATCAATTTCCATACCATTTAAGCTTCTCACACGAGTATGATTTCTGAAATTTCATTTTCAGAAAAGATTGTTAGGCAGCAGGCAATACCCGTATTTAAGGACAGTATTTTAACAAGAGCAAGGCAACAGTGCAAAAATGAATAGGCTTTTATCAGTGTCAAAAGAGCCATGCAGATTATATAGTGGAAGTTCTGACTCAAGATTCATTTCAGACTAAGGTACTGAATGTGGAAACCTCTCTTGACATATGTAGTCCAGGTGAACTCTTCTGAATGAAGCAGTATAAGCACTTAAACAGGCCACAAGGGAAGATGCTTTAGCCATTCACTCCGCCAGTAATCTCCCTCATGGCCTTAAGAAAATTTGCTAAATCTCCTGTGACAATAACTTGTTTGGCAAAATGCTCTGAAATTTATGAATGAAAAATCTTATATACAAAATATTGCTTACTTTTATATTTTAAGTAATGTTAATTTTAAGTAATATTAGCAGAGTATCTGTAATATATACATGTTAATTCAGTGTTCCGTCATATTCTTAATAATTTTCTATCACTGAATAGGTGGCAGGCATGCTCCTTTTGCAAGATAGGGGCCTGGAAACATTTTACTTGATGAGGAAACAGAATTAGATTGACTGATGTGTATTAAGTATCTTGAAACTAAGCAGGCATGCGGAGATTGCTTTAATTAACAAGGTACTAGAGTGCTGTGGGACCTTTTAATTATGTGTATGTTTTAATCGTTCTTCAGACTGTTTTGCTTAAATCAAAGTGTGTTACAACTGAGGAATGTTAATCCATTTGGCATGTAGTTGATAATTTAAAGGCCCAAAGCTGATGTAGGAACTGCATGAATATACTTGAAGCCTTATAAAGAATTTGTTTACCAATACTGTGTTGCAATGTTCATAATCAAAGATATGTAGGAATGGAAACTTACTAATATTAGTCTATACAACCAAAAGCAAAATTTCTAACAAAGTAAACAAAATATGAAAAACTTGTAAACAACTTCTTGAAGATAAGAGCTTCAAAGGAACAGGAATTTTAATGGCAGTAGAAAGAGTTTCTGTTAGATGACTTACTGCCTTTTGATGCAGTTGGTATCTGTAACAACTATCTGTAACTGTTTTGAGATATAATGAAAGCAAATGCCTTTTTGTAACAAGAGTGTAATCACTACCAGCCTTGAAATTCAGGAATTAACTGTTCTTGTGTTCCACAGCTACCTCAAGTGTTAGACTTGTGGCAAGTTGTGGGCAACGTGCTTGAAGACAGCTCTGGTGGACATTAAGTGTGAATATTATTCCATCAGTATTCAAAAAAATTAAATCTCATTTTTTATTTTTTTAACATGTTGCCTACTGATTCAGTTTCTATTTAATGTATGAAACCACTTTCTACTGTGATACTTCAGTGAAATAATTAACCTCCATGGAAAAACAATAGGATTCGACGCAGAAGTAATAGTGTAGATGCTGTTCTTATGCTAGAATTCGTACGACGAGCAGTTTCAAAATGAAGTAAAAAAAAAATGAAGCTCTGAAGGAGCTGGGAAGAAAGTTGTATTTCAGATTACTAATATATTGTATTTGGTGTGGGGAAGGTCTGTATATAGACACTCGAAAAACTCCCTGTAGAAAGAAGAAAAACTCCAGTTTTATGAAACTGCTAAACTTCGAGTAGCTGGCTTCTTACCTTGTGCAGATGAAAGTAGCCCTGAATGGAGGCTTAATTGCAAGCTAATAATGCTGTTTTGCAACAGATATTTAAATTTGAATGATCACCAAGTATTTCATTTCAGATGTGCACCTAGTAGGCAATGTCTAGGAGAGGTCTTAGATCTGGAGAAGCACTAGTATGCTTTGCAAATGCACTCTCCCAGTCTGCAGCAATTTGGGGGTTGGCACGTTGTTAGAGGAAGGCGCAGCTGGGGCAAAACTACTGAAAACTGGCAGTGGCTGCCCCCTAGATCTACCCTGTAGGTGAGTTTTAGCACATCAGGTGCGTTTATTTTCATTTGGAGTGAATAGCTGAAATACAAAACTTAAGTATTTCAGTTGGCTAAAAAAGTTTGTTTGCAGGATAAGATGGTACTACTGAAAACTGGCAGTGGCTGCACCCTAGATCTACCCTGTAGGTGAGTTTTAGCACATCAGGTGCGTTTATTTTCATTTGGGGTGAATAGCTGAAATACAAAACTAATTATTTCAGTTGGCTGAAAAAGTTTGTTTGCAGGGTAAGATGGTATGTCATAATTAAGCAATCCTTAAACTGTAATGAAAAATTTTTGTCAAGTGCGTATTAAAGTGCAAGAAACCTAATGAAGTGCCTATACACACAGGTGTTCAACTGCTTGGTTTGTGGTTTTTTTTTTTCCCCTACCCATTTACAACCAGTGGCAACATACTCCTGTAGGCAGGGAATGATAGGGCAGTTGGGTGTTTATTACCATGAAGAGCAGGAAACAGAGGAGTAGTCAC